GAATATCATAAAGACCTGGGGTCTCATTTATAAAACTCTCCGTAGATTTCATCCTAAAAGTGTACGTACGCACAAAAGTTTTCAGATTTATAAAACCATGCGTACGCCAGAACCTGCGCAAAAATCCCTTTATAAATCCCAGTCAGGGTAAGATTGTGCATACGTGCATCTCCACCCCGACTCCTCCCTGAAATCACCATATATGCAGCTTACAATGCCTAGTTTTACTATGAATAACCTCATGTGCATATCATTTCCATGCACATTCCATCCACGTGACACCATGTTTAACACCGTCAAAGGTACAAGACATTAAGGGAATATGAGATACGGACTATAAATGCCATTTGTGCCATACACCATTTTTATTGCTAAAAATCATCCAGTGTCCTTGTTATGTTTTAGAATAAATATATCAAAATATCCATAAAAACAAAACTGTTTAAAATAGTTCTCAGATAGGCTAAATATTTTAGAATAGAGTTGAGCACATTCTTTTCCACTGGCCAAATAAGTGTGTGTGTTTTCTCAGGTGAGTGTTTCTATGGTTGGTTGGAGCCTCTGTTGGCCCGGTTAGTTCAAGAACCTACCACAGTTGTGAGCCCAAGCATTGCTGTCATCGACAAGAACAATCTACAGTTCATAAAGCCTGTGGTGTCAGCCCGCACGCATAGCCGTGGGAACTTTGACTGGATCCTGAGCTTTGGCTGGGAGACTATTCCTGAAGAAGAGAGGGTGAAACGCAAAGATGAAACCTATCCTGTCAGGCAAATCTACAAAAACACACATAGAGACACCTTTCTCATGTCCACATATTAAGTAAAATTGCATTATATTGCTGCTGCATATGAAACACCAGTTTTCAAATAAAAATTTTCGTTCAGGACACCCACGATTGCCGGTGGGCTTTTTGCCATTTACAAGCAGTTCTTTGAATACATTGGAACCTATGATGACTAGATGGAGTTTTGGGAAGGAGAGAACATAGAAATGTCATTCAGGGTAAGACCAACTAGCAGGTTTGTATCTTTTGCATCCCTCTAGTGAACTATTGTTAACAAAATGAGAAGATTTTGACATTTGTCATTTGCAAATGATTTACTATAACTCATTCTAATTCTGATACAGTTTTGTTAGTTAACTAAAATTATTAAACATAATATTCTTTAATTCAAATAAAGCCAAAATAAAAATAATATATAGAAGAAAATAACAAATAATAAAATGTAAAAGAATATATAAGAAAATATATAATAAAAATGACAACTGAAATAGAAAAGTTGAAGTACGAAAACTACTAAAATTGAAATTAAAGATAAATAAAAGTATATATTATATATATATATAACAACAATAGCAAATAAAAATGATGAAAGCACATAACAAAATGATTAAAACCCAAACAAAAATTACAATGAAAACTAAATGTATAAATAAAAGCTAATTCAAAATATTAATAAATACTATAATGTTATATAAATAATACTAAAAATAACTCTTCTGCTGTCATACATTATGTATTGTCCTATTATTTGTTTCAGTTTTTTTATTATTATAACCATTTCTTACTATGTGTCAGTAAGTTATTGTTATTTTAGCATGTGTGTTTGGCTCAGTGTTATTTTTTTAGGATTACTGATGAAATAATGTAGTTTGATTTGTATTAGTTATCCATTTTAGTTTTAGTTACAGTTGTAGTAATGTTGTCATTTTATTAGTTTTTTATTATGTCTATATAGGTTTTTTATTAAGTTTTAGTTTTATTTAATTTGAGTTATTTCAGTACTTCAACATACAAAATGAAAATGAAATAATATGTATATTGAATGTATTTATATATATATATGTACATGTATATGTATGTGTGTGTGGTTGTGCATACACATATGTAGTTGTTTTTTGGTGTTTGGCTTAGTGTTTGTAAAGTAAAAGTCTCTTGCAGGTATGGCTTTGTGAAGGCAGTCTAGATATCATTCCCTGTTCTGTGGTCGGCCACATCTTTTGCACCAAAAGTCCGCATTCCTTTCCAAAAGGCATAGATGTGATCGCACGCAACCAGGTTCGCCTCGCAGAAGTCTGGATGGATGATTACAAGAAGATTTTCTACAACAGAAATAAAAAAGCTGCTGCCATTGCAGCGGAGGTGAGAGAAGTGGATAACACATTTCATATTTTAAATGATTACAAAATCTTATTTGTAAAGCTCACATATTTCTCTTCTACCTTTGAGGAGCACAGAAATCATTTGGAGACATCAGTGAGCGCCTGAAGCTCAGAGAGAGGCTGCATTGCAAAAATGTATCCTGGTACCTAGAAAACATTTACACCGAGGCCTTTGTGCCCGATTTGAACCCTGTGCTGTTTGAATCGGTAATGTAGTGTTATAATTTCAGATTTGCTACAATAATAGCTATTACCAGAAAAATATTAATTTTTTGTATATTGTGTCTGTAGTTGAAGAACATTGCCACAAGCACTTGTCTTGATATTGGTGAGAAGAATCCTGGAGGGAAGTCAGTGGTTTTATTCATTTGCCACAACATGGGAATAAACCAGGTACTTTATGATAACTGCTGTCATCTGCACGTAATTTTTTATTGGCCGTTTTTAATAATTTTCCAAACATTTGTTTAGCTTGTTTGGCCAAAGTAAACAAAAGCACACTGCATATAACATAAAATAAAAATGGAAGATACAAAAAAAAAAGCTAATTCTAAATATTAATAAATATTATAATGGTATATAAATAGCGCTAAAATATTTTTAGTTATCAATTTTCTATACCTTTCTAAATATTTGTTTTGCTTTGTAGTATTTTGAGTACATGTCGCATCAGGAGTGGAGGCATAATATTGATAAGCAGCTGTGTCTGCATGCGACGATCGAGCCTGAACGCGTGCAAGTGGAGCTGTGCAACTTTCAGGATGAAGGAACCGTCCCTGCTCCACAGCAGACATGGAGTTTGATTCTTGTTTCCCAACAGGTGTGGTACATCTCCCAACATCCCTTTGCCTCTGGCTGCATAATGCCACAAATAATGAGTGCAGAATTATGGCACAAAATGATCTTATCTCAAATTGGGTGGGTGTTATCTTTTAGAGATTTAAATTTCATCTTAATGTGTGTTATCTTACCTTTTATATATCTGCAATTGTTTGCAGATATATCTTCTCCATAATGCTCTCTTTAGTAAGTGTTTAATGGTGGAGTATGGCAACATCATCATGAAAAACTGTGACCCTGCCAACAATTATCAGCATTGGTCTTTCATCTGAACTCAAAAGGGGTTCGTCCTCCATCAGATTATCTGATTCTTTTTTTTTTGGAATATTGCACAAAACAGAAGTGCAGTGAATAATGTTGCATCACGGTTTCGCACTAATGTAAGGTTTGTGCTGTGTATCAGGAGTTCTTAATTGAATTATTAATCTCAATCAAATGAAATTGAACTGATTAAATTAAACTTGATTAAATGCACTAAAATCAATGTTTGTCGAATAATGCACACTTTTAATAAACAATGTTGTTCCTCGCATCAAACGCTGTTCAGTTGTAGTAGCATTTGACTAATGTGTTTATAAATTAAAGCTGATGAATGAAAATGTCTTTTTGTAAGCAACTTGTGCAGTGACTGCATGTAATTGTGCAGTGGATTGAATGGTTTATCTCTGAGCCAGGCTTCTTAAAAGTCCAATCAAGTATGGACATTAACGCAAGGTGGCGCTAATGCAACAGAATAGAATAGAGCATGCTGTTTGTTCTGCAGTTGTTAACGTAATGTTAAATGTCTAAATCATTGAGGTAGCTTTATACTAAATATCTATGCGGCTATGCTTAATTGTTGTAATTATTAAATACGTTTGTTATACGTACCTATATTAAATTTATTTGTTTGTTTCTTACGGTGGCTGAGAAGTGCAAAGCAAATCACAATTCTGAAAACAAAATAATTCAGAAAGCACAACAACAATTCAGAAAACATTATAACAAGTCAGAAAACACAACGACAAATCCGAAGCGGACAGACTGCAGGAGGGCGGGGCTTGTGGAAAACAACCCACGCAGGGCGCTGATTGACAGCTAAACGCTGCAATGGTGAACATGCTGAACGCTCTTCAGTCCAATGGAGAGGGCGCATGCGGAATATCTAATGAGTGTTAAGTCCTGCTGATAAGAGCTAGAAAAAAGTCGAATGAAGAGCTCTGGAAGAATGTCAGTACGACATTGCAGATAAAAACTACGGTGGCTGAGAAGTGTAAAACAAATCACAATTCTGAAAACAAAAGAACAAATTACAAACGCAAATGCAAGTCTAAAAATCAAAATAACAATTCAGAAAACACAACAACAATTCAGAAAACGGTATAACAAGTCAGAAAGCACAATGACAAATTCGAAAACAAAATAAGTCAGAAAACACAATGACAAATCAGACAAACCGGAAGAGGTAGGTATAGTTTGAGACCGCGCCATTGGTTTGGGATTACTCACCGCTGACTGGACGAGACATCTGTCAATCAACATATACAGGGAAGAACCAGCCGAAGAACAGCAGAGTCGTGGTAGAAAGTTCAGAGATGGTATTAAAGTAGCTCATTGTGTTTTCTGACTTGTTATACTGTTTTCTGAATTGTTGTTGTGTTTTCTGAATAGTTATTTTGTTTTTTAGACTTGCATTTGCGTTTGTAATTTATTTTGTTTTCAGAATTGTGATTTGTTTTGCACTTCTCGGCCACCGTAGTTTTTATCTGCAATGTCGTACTGACATTCTTCCAGAGCTCTTCATTCGACTTTTTTCTAGCTCTTATCAGCAGGACTTAACACTCATTAGATATTCCGCATGCGCGCTCTCCATTGGACTGAAGAGCGTTCAGCATGTTCACCATTGCAGCGTTTAGCTGTCAATCAGCGCCCTGCGTGGGAAGTTTTCCACAAGCCCCGCCCTCCTGCAGTCTGTCCCCGCCCACCGCTCTTATCCCCAGCGCAGCTGCGCGGTGACGTCTGATTCTCCAGCAATGATGGGCAGTCGAGCGAGCGCTGGTGAGTTGCTCTCTCCACCAATAACATCACACAAACCCGCCGTGTCATTTCAACAGGGAAGGAGGAAACTGTCTTAAAGAATGACACTGTAGTGGCTATTGTTATATTTTTGCGCTGAGTCTGTTGCAGCTCTTTAAGTTTAGCTTGCTGTTTAGTCCTGCTGTTTTTGTTTTGTTAAGTGAAGAGCACTATAAGTAAGTAGCATGTTGTCATGCAGTGTATATTCAGCTGTCTACAAAGTTCAACTTTTACTTTACCAGCTTTATCATGTACCGTTTGATGTTAAATGTATTCCAGATATCTATGTTTAAAGCATTTGTTGTGAATGCGATGCATTGCATAAAATTATTAGCAAGCTGTAAGTCCAGTCAGTGCCAGGCTGAGCCCTGTTAAATAAGGGATTGTGCTAATAACATGGTAAGTTCAGAGTGTGGCTTTGAGGGAGGTTGTGTTTTTGTGTCACAGGAGGTTTATATGTGTACCTTTCCTGTATGCCACAGAGAGAGCACACACTACAGTCCCTGAACTCAGTGGTAGGACTTTTTTTGGTTGTCATGCCAATTCAAGTAGTTATGTGACCTGACTTGCCAAATTTCTAGTTAGTTAATTGTTAGAACAGCTGTAGTTGGTGTTGTTTATATGTTCCCTAAAAAGTAGAAGCGACTCTGCATTGGCAAGGAATTATTGCATGTGAAATAACTTCATCAGATCCACACCATTTATCTAGACTACTTCTTTCCAAGTGTATGTCTTCATAATCAGGCCATTTAGTTAACAAGCTTGCTCTGTGGTTGATCTGTTGTGTTATCTGTTGATATTGTGTCACTTGTTTAATATTCATACTAATGCCTTTGACATTGTACTGTGTGCAGTGTTGGGGGTGACTCATTACAAGTAACGCGAGTTACGTAATCAGATTACTTTTTTCTAGTAACTAGTAAAGTAACGCATTACTTTTTTAATTTACAAGAAAATATCTGAGTTACTTTTTCAAAAAAGTAATGCCAGTTACTTTGTTTTCCCATTTATTGACTGACAGCTCTCCTGTCCCCATATTGGGAGAAATCGGGAGCAGGCCTACAGAGGAATTGTGTGCGCTGTGTGAACCTGATGCTACTGTAGTTCTAGACTAAATGTGAATGTGCATTAATTCATCCCACTCATAAAAAACATATTTAGTATTCATCAAAATGAATTAAAACAGTGAAATGCAAACTCAGAATATGATGCAAACCTGCAATAATTAAATGTTAAATAACACAAATGTATCTAATCCCATTTTATTAACCGATGTCTTTGCTGCTGACCTTTGATGATCCAGTTCAACCATACTAATAAGCAAAAATGACTTTAGAGAAACTAACAATTGTGCTTTGTTTTTTTATTGCTGAAGAGTGTTTCTTCTCCTGCGTTCTACTGTACAGACATGATTTTACTTTTGCTTCAGCCTGAGGTTTATTCATTACACTTTTTGGTGTGAAAGGGCTTTTATATTTGCTATAAATAGAACTTCTTATGTTAAAAACAATCAAGCCCTGCTTATATTTAAAAAGTAATGCGAAAGTAATGCAAAAGTAATATAACGGATTACTTTCCATAAAAAGTTACTAAGTAACATAATTAGTTACTTTTTTAGGGAGTAACGCAATATTGTAATGCATTACTTTTAAAAGTAACTTTCCCCAACACTGACTGTGTGTGTGTGTTGGGCAGCTTTAGTTAAAGTGCTCTTTGGAGAACATTTTTTGTATGTGAATTTACGTGTTTCAGTAGAGATATTTAGCAGTTTTGCTGTTTTTGTTGTCATTAAGTTATGTGTTGTATCAGCATTATCGTCCATCCTGATGTCTATGGAAATGATACAGCTGTAATATAACTCCATAAACATACTTTTGATCTGACTGTATGAACAACATGAGATCTGCGGTTTAATCTTTTTCTGACCTCTTGGCAGACAAGATGAGCCTTCCCCTCTCACGCTCTGAAGTGTTTGGGCAGCTGAGGAAAGAACTACATGATGATAAAGAATTTCACCAGTCTGACGTTCATACCTTCATCATCATGGGGGCTTCGGTGAGTCTCCGTGTTTGTTAGTGTGGTATTTTAAAATCTCTGTCTCTACTAATGAGGAATTGATACAGTCTCATCTGCAACCATTGATTGTCACTCATTTTGTATACTTTGGATCTACTGATGAGCTTTCATGATGAATTCATGTATTTGGGTGACTTTGTTTTATTAGAGGGACTACATTTTTCATGTACATCAGTATTCTGAAATTAATTGAAAATTCTGAAATTAATTGAAAATTGGAAGTGCTCTGTTTAGTACTGAATCTTGTAAACGCCACAATCCAATTGCCTGATTCAGTTTAAGACAATATTCAGATTTCCCAAATTCTGATTCCCACCCCTGGAATATCATACATTTGTTGCATGCAAACACCTTATTCAGAAAATAGAAACACTTTAGATTAGGGAAAAATATCCACTATTAACTAGTTGCATATTACTAACACAATGGCTGTTTATTAGTGCTTATAAGGCACATATTAATGGCTTATTCTGCATGACCATATTCTAGATTCCTTAACCCTACCCCATTACCTAAACTTAACAACTACAACCGCTACCTTACTTACTATCAATAAGCAGCAAATTAGAAGTTTGCTGTGGGAAAACTCTTAGTTAACAGTGTTCCCTAATCTACGGTGTTAGCCAGAAAATTTACCGAAAAGCGATATATGTGCACACTCCCCACAACTTCCCAGTTTGTAAAGCACAGTGAAATGCACATTACAACTGGCACAGGTGCGCATACAGTTTCATCACCAGATTTCATCACACTTTCCATGATTGCATATAGTTTGTGGAATGAGTGTTTCCCCATTCTAAAATTCTGTTGCCATTTTGTAAACTTCATTTACAAAGACATCACTGCTCTCTCCCACCAGTCCTTGCTGCAAACTTTCATCCCTTCACTTTTCTTCTGTTGCTCTAGTTACACATTACTGCATGTGTTTATTAATGTTTGTGCCATGCTTTGCATTTCATGGTGGTGTTTTTGGGATTGTTGGAGGTAAGAAGTCCTAATTAAATGATTGTGAAAACATTCTAATAAAAACTGACCAATGGCAGCATCTTGACTCTTTGAGAAAAGAAACCGCACGTGTGAATTGGCATACTTAAAAAAATGTACAGGAATATTCTGATGCCTGTTGACATAACTATCAAATTCAGAATATGACACCAACCAGAATATAGACCGTGCATGTAGACGTACACTCCATGAAGAACCTTTAACATCCATGGAAACATCGTACATAAAAGATTCTTTATAGTGGAAAAAGGTTCTTTAGATTATTAAAATGTTCTTCATACTAAGAAAAAAAGGTTATTTTAAGAACTATTCACATAAAGGTTCTTTAGGGAACCAAAAATGTTTCTTCTATGGCATCATTGCAAAACCCCCCTTTGGAAACGTTTTTGAAGAGTAAAGTCATTGAAATGACTGTCAAAAATTGGTCCAATTTGTCCAAAATCATACTAATGATGATGACTTGGTTCCTATTTCATATTATTTCTTGTACATACAAATTTCTTTGGTTACACAACTTGTTTTACAGCACAGCCTGTTAACTGCTGAACCAATAAAGGAAGAAAGTCTCAAATTCCACTGAATTAATAAAATCGCCTTGTTGTGTTGTACAAGGAAGTACAGCAGAAATTATGCAACCATGAAGGGACATTTCCAACATAGGGCTTCTTTTTATCATCCAGACAGAACAGGGTGGTTGAGTAATTCAGCGGTTCAGTTCACAGCCCATGAACGCTTAAGGCCTTGAAAGCTGATTGGTCAAGTGTGGTGACAGAAGATCTGTGATTGGCTAGTCGTGATGAAAGACTCACTGTATCGAGCCTTGATTAGATTCAGCATGAACACATAAACTGTGATGAGTGCTGAAAGACCTAATGTATGAAAAAAAAAATCATGCAAAGTGTTTAGAATGTCAAAATGAAGTTTGCATTGTAGTAGCTTTTACACTTCTCACTAGACTGTTGCTCTTCTTAACTTTGTGATGAAATTTAAACCCTCTTCCTCCTTTTTTTTGGCTAGATTTTCCTTGTTCCTCCTTATTTTGTTCAACTTTTTACTAGTCCGTTTTTACACAACTGCTTTGTGAAAAGATCTTTGTGACTGTTGGCTTTTCCTGTTCTTATTGTTTGGGGTTTTAAATCGGTGCGAGTGAGCTGGATTATTTCATATCACTCTCTGTCAGCACTTTTCTTTCAGTTGGTGTGGAGAGCGAGATGAAAGAGCTGGCTTGTGTTTGGGATGAGGGTGCAGACAGAGAGATGGTGGAGAGAGGGGATATGCATGGCCAGGTCTGGATCATTGGTTGGCATGGTGTTCAATAGGTTTATGGCATAATATTGAGTCTGTTCAGAAACCATGTCAAAATGCAGATGCAACATCACCTCATTTGTCTAACCTTGAGCCACTTAGATTCAGTGCATCCACCCCCAGCCATCTGTCACATTACCAAATTTGTACATAACTTCGACAGATTGTGAGTGCTCAGTTGTGAGTAGCTGTCATTAGGAACTATGTAGCTTTGCAAATGACACACTTAATTATAATTAAAGACACATGATTATCATTTTTGATAAAGAAATCTGTGCTATAGAAATTCTGTTTCACTTACATGTGGTGTCTGCTCATCAGTCGCCATTATATAACAGTGAAAAAAACTACCTCTTTATAATAAGACATTTTGCACAAATCAGACCAAGTAAAAGAGTTAAGCTAGGCCTTTAATGATTTGCTTAATTTCAATAGTCGCATAAAGATAAAGCAAATGTGCTAAAAAAAAACGTTTATAAATGGAATGGACAGGAATGTCTCAAAATATTGTCTTGTGTGACAATATTTATTTTATTTTGTGAGTGAATTAGATTACACATTTGTGAATTATATAGACTTCCATTTTAAAAGTTTGAAAGAAGTCTCTTATGCTCACAAATGCTTCATTTATTTGATCAAAAATACAGTAAAAACAGTAATATTGTGAAATATTATTACAAAACTTTTTTCTGTTTGAATAGGTTAAAATGTAATTTATTCCTGTGATACAATGTTGAATTTTCAGCATCATTACTGCAGTCTTCACTGTCACATGATCCTTCAGAAATCATTCTGATATGCGTATTTGCTGCTCAAGAAACATTTCTTATAATTAGCAATGTTGAAAACATTTGTGCTGCTTAATATTTTTGTGGATTTTTTTTTAACCTTAACGTGCTGAAGCGTCAGAATTTGTTGACACAATACCACAGGAAAAAAATCTGGCATAAAAATATTATATTGGATTTAATAGTTAGTAAGTGAATAAATGAATGCTATTTATGTCACATGTATTATCTGCTTCCACCACTAATTATGTTTAATATGTTTTAGGATGGACGCATGTCTGAATTATCTGTTTGCCATTGTTAGAAAGTAGGCTGCTTAAGTGGTTGGAAAGAATCTCCTGGTGTCAAATGCATTACTGTACCTTTACTTTTGTGTTTTTTCCCCCAAAGTGACTTGCATTGTATTCAACATGTACCTTTTTATCGTTTCATCCACTTCTCTGGAAATCAGTCCCATAGCCTTAGTGTAAAGCATAACACTTTTCTTTAGACACACTATCAGAACAAATACACACAGTTTCTCTGGCTGCTTGGTTTTGTGTGTTTGTTTTAGTATGATTATGCTGCGTTCTTCGTGCTAAAAGGTCATGGATGAGTTTTTGTCAAGTCACCATTACTGAGTGCTTTTCGCCATAGCAAAGCAGCAGGAGTGACTCATAGATGAAATAGTGAACTGATATATTTACTAATATCCCCCAATAATGTGTATCTGGAGAGATGGGACTCTCCCACAATGCCATAAATCAGCCAACACAAACTGAATATTGCTGTCTCACCATGCTCAGAGCATTTCTCATGTGTCTGAATGGGTGTGGATCTGTTCTGCTGAGATCAGTGACCTTTGCATTGAAAAGATTGAATCACATGTAGCAGGGATGGGTCGACTTTTCAATCACATTGAGTCAGAGTGACAGCTGACTATAAACTGACTATACCTTATTAAAAAAATAGCTGCTTGGCTGGACTTACAGACCCCATTAAATAGTTGAACAAATGCAGATTGCTTTCCTTTGCAGATGTATTTACCATTTGCAAGGTTTTTGTAGGTAGCTAGTAGCCTTCAGATTTCAACCCTGAAAAACTACACAACAACAGCAGTGACGACACTTTCAAAATGAATATATGTCAGTAACTTACTTTTCAACCAATTGATGGTGCAACTTGCTATTGCTAGTCAGTGGCAGGTGATATTAGAGGGGCATTATTATCCTACATTTGTATACTGTATACCAGTGCAAATCAGTATTGGTTATCAGTATTTCTGTTCTGCTTTCTGAAAAGAAAAAAGACTTTTAAATGTGCATTTGCTGTTTTTTTTTTGTTTGTTTTTTTGTTTTTGGTCAACTAGGTGCAAAAATAGAAGCACACATTGCAAAAAAAAATAAAATGGAGAAACAAAGTGTGTCATTGACCAAAAATAGAAATGTGAATATAGAAAAAAGTTGCCACTCTGTGGCTTCAATGAATAAATAATTTATCATACTCCTGCTCAGTTTTCAGGAGTACAGCAAGCACAGGGGTTTTCTTATATAATATAGTGAACTCTTCGTGAGGGACCCCTTTCATTAACTATAAAGGCAACTATATCCGTCTACAGATCCATTTATGCATGATATTTTAAAAACAACATGTTTCCAAAATTAAATATTTCTGACTTTTTGTCGTCGTACTAAATATTTTTCCAAAGCAGCTTTACAGAAAATATTTGGTGAGAAGACTCCCTAAAGGTGTCAGTAATTATGTCTTTTTTATTATTAATATTATTATTTTAGTTTTAAGTAATTGGTTTACAAATGTAAAGTGGGATACATTCCCAACATTGTTCTCATTGTGTACATTTTTGCTAGATTTTTGGTTTTTGGGCAATTGTAGTTTTTGGTTGGGTCCCGTGTTCATCATTTAGCCTTTAAGATCATCTAACACTGATCACCGATCAGCTTTTCTCTTTGAAATTCTCTGATGGGATTAACTAGTTTTGAAAATGTTGCACTATGAAAAACAGTAAATGGCTTTTGTGTAATTTAGCATAAATGAATAAATTGTACCGTGATATATCAAATGTGTTCTTTTTGTAGGGAGATCTGGCCAAAAAGAAAATCTACCCAACTTTGTGGTGAGTACTCTGACATAACACGCTTTTACACATATTAGTATTTACTAGTGCAATACCATTCAACGTTTAGATCTGGTAAGATTATTATTATTTTTTTAAATAATTTACTTATGCTAAGCAAGGCTGCATTTATTTAATCATATTGTAACATAAACAATTTAAGATTTATTAATATTCTATTACAATTACAATTGCGGTTTAATTAATGTTATTCTGTTTTAGTTTTTTTTTCTTTTTTCATTTTTTCTGGGTCCTTTGAATACAAAAGTCCAAGAGAATTATTGGAAATTGAAATCTTTTGTAACAATATAAATGTTTTTGCTGTCACTTTGATCAATTTAATGTGTCCTTGCTGAATAAAAGTATTGATTCCTTTCAGAAAGTATTATTAACACCTAATCCTTTGAACAGTTTGAAGTATTTCTGTTTGCCTCTTGTAGGTGGTTGTTCAGAGACGGTCTTCTCCCTGAACAGACATATTTTGTGGGTTTTGCGCGTTCTGATCTGACCGTGGATGCCATACGTGCAGCCTGCATGCCCTACATGAAGGTCACAGCTCTGAGAGTTTCTCCATGTGCATTTATCTATTTACTGCATATGTGTGTTAATATGTCCTCTCCTCCCTTTAGGTGGCAGACTCTGAGGCAGAGCGGCTCGCTGCGTTCTTCAGCAGAAACTCTTACATCAGCGGGAAGTACGTGGATGAATCCTCTTTCGCTAACCTGAACACTCACCTGCTGTCCCTGCCTGGAGGAGCTCAGGCCAACCGGCTCTTCTACCTGGCCCTGCCGCCCAGCGTCTACCACGACGTCACCAAGAACATCAAACATCAGTGCATGAGCACCAGGTGAGGAGCAAACGCATGCAGTTTTTTTTTTTTTCATTTTTGTTTATTGATGTGATTGCTTTCGTAACGTAACGCAAGGCAAATCTTGTCCAAAAGTTGGCCAGAGTTTGTTACGGACTTGAATGGTACAATTTTAAACTGACAAAAAAATCATGCGGAAGAAAAAAATCCTTACGTCGAAGAAGGCATCTGAGCCATTTATAGGGACCATTATTATAGGAAAATAAAGCTGAAATAAAATATAAATATTAGATAAAAAACTTCAAACAAAAATTTGAAATGTTTCATTGGCAACTAACCTAAATAAAATACGTTTGTTAAATACTAAAATTACTAAAACTAATACAAATTATTTAAAGCTAAATACAAATGTAAACTAAAAATACATCTAAATCTAAATTTAAACCAAATCCTAATAAAAATTGGAAAAAAAAGAAAATTGCTTGAAAACTGAAAATATTAAAATAAAAGCTCATTCAAAATGTTAATAAATACTATAATAGTATATTAGTAATTCTGAAATATCACTGGCTAGATGTGAGGTGTAGTTTCTGTTCGGTTTTCTAATTGTCTGTGTATATGATTTTGCCCTAGCAAAGGCCTTTTTCACATGCAGCATATTTCTTGTGTTTGTATGTTTGTTAGAGGCTGGAACAGGATAATCGTGGAGAAGCCTTTTGGACGTGACCTGCAGAGCTCAGAGGAGTTAACCTGTCATCTCTCTTCTCTCTTCACTGAGGACCAGATTTACCGTATAGACCATTATCTAGGCAAAGAGATGGTCCAGAACCTCATGGTTCTCAGGTGTGGCTCTTTCCATTTCCCATTGCTCTTTTCATCCCTCTCTGCCTGCTGCTTTTCACTGGCTGTCACACGCAGTTGTCATTTGTGCATAATTAAGGGTTAAACTCCACCAGGAATCTCTTCATCTGTCTCCGCGTTTCATTAGTTTCAGTTTTCTTTTTTATTTCCTTAAAGGTTTGGAAATCGGATATTTGGCCCCATATGGAACCGGGACAGTGTGGCTTGTGTGGTTCTGACCTTCAAAGAGCCGTTTGGTACCCAGGGCCGGGGAGGATATTTTGATGATTGTTGTTATTATTATTATTGTTGTTGTTGTTATTATTATTATTGTTGTTGTTATTATTATTATGTCTGCGTGTGTGTGTGCGCGTATGTTCAATCACATGTCATTCACAGCTTAGCTTATTGGTTAAAATGAAGCATCCAACTGAAGTGCTTTTGTTGAGATAAATGGGAATTATCCTGAATTGCTCTCTACAGGTACTGTAGATCCTCTTTCTAATACCTGTTTTGTTTTTGTTTTTTGTATGCTCTCTGTGTCCCTCTACAGGTAAAGGTGCTGAAGTGCATTGAGCCGGTCTCTGTATCAGATGTGGTCTTGGGTCAGTATGTTGGAGATCCAGATGGGGAAGGAGAGGCTAAACTGGGTTATCTAGATGACAAAACTGTCCCTGAAGGCTCCACTCAGGCTACATAACAGTGTTGAAGTAGACTTGTTTTTTCCTTTTCCTGTTTGTTTGTTTATTTATTCATTTTATTTATGTTTTGTTTTAAGACTTTTTCCTGTCTGCTGCAAAGAGTTGTTATTGTTGTTATTATTATTATTATTATTGTTGTTGTTATTATTATTATGTCTGTGTGTGTGTGTGTGCGCGTATGTTCAATCACATGTCATTCACAGCTTAGCTTATTGGTTAAAATGAAGCATCCAACTGAAGTGCTTTTGTTGAGATAAATGGGAATTATCCTGAATTGCTCTCTACATGTACTGTTGATCCTCTTTCTAATACCTGTTTTGTTTTTGTTTTTTGTATGCTCTCTGTGTCCCTCTACAGGTAAAGGTGCTGAAGTGCATTGAGCCGGTCTCTGTATCAGATGTGGTCTTGGGTCAGTATGTTGGAGATCCAGATGGGGAAGGAGAGGCTAAACTGGGTTATCTAGATGACAAAACTGTCCCTGAAGGCTCCACTCAGGCTACATTTGCCACAGCATTGCTTTATGTAAAGAACGAACGCTGGGATGGTAAGTGCTAATTAGCTCATTTTTACAGTCTGGCCAAAGATCTAAAATTTTGACCTTGATACTATAATGACCTGTGGCTGTTTCTGAAATTAAAAGCATCCTTTGTGCTGCTTTAATAACTGATTTAAATGAGAAGCTTTACTAACCCTTTGGTCTTGAAAATGAAATTGTTTTGTGGTTGAAAATGCAAAATAAATTTTTAGCACATGCGCTGCTATTCAAAAGTTTGTGGTTGGATTTAAAAAATACATATTTTAAAAGAAGTCTCTTATGCTTACCATTTATTTGAGTAAAATACAGTAAAAACAGCAACACTGTGAAAACATTTAAAATAACTATTTGAATATATTTTAAAATTTAATGAGTCAAAGCTGAATTTTCAGCATCATTACTCCAGTCTTCAGTGTCACATGATCCTTCAGAAATCATTCTAATATTATGAATAGAAAGTTCAATAGAACAGTATTTATTGGAAATAGATTTTCATTTTTTTGTCAATTTATTATTTTGAACAGCAGTATATACCTTAGTCTTTCTCTTCCTGAATGTGTTGATATTTTATTAAACCATTTGATTACCCGTCTCTCTCCAGGCGTTCCCTTCATCCTCAGGTGTGGAAAGGCTCTGAATGAGAGGAAGGCAGAGGTGAGGCTGCAGTTCACCGATGTTCCTGGAGACATCTTTAGCTCTCAGTGCAGGCGGAACGAGTTGGTGGTCCGTGTGCAGCCCAACGAGGCCATCTACGCCAAGATGATGAGCAAGAAACCCGGAGTCTATTTCAGCCCTGAGGAGACCGAGCTGGACCTGACCTACCACAGCAGATACAGGGTAAAACGCACAGCTTTCATTCATTCATTCTCTGTCTCTTTTGTCCTAATTGGCAACTTTGACTAATAATATGTGGGATATCATATGTAGAAAATGACTTGATTTCAACCAAAAATCTTTATTAAAGTTCCTTCATTTTCTCTTTATAAATGTGCTTTTCTCTGTTCTCCCTTTTCAAAGGACGTTAAGCTGCCTGATGCCTATGAACGTCTGATTCTGGACGTCTTTTGTGGCAGTCAAATGCATTTTGTACGAAGGTGTGTTTCTCATTGTGATCTCTGCTATGATTAGTACAGTAATGTAAATGTAATATGTTGTTACAGTAAACAACCATTGCTGAATTTGACTTGCTTTATTAAAGTGATGAGTTGAGGGAAGCCTGGAGAATCTTCACTCCTCTTCTTCATCAGATAGAGAAGCAGAAGACGCCACCCATCAAATACAAATACGGAAGGTAAAACTTTTTTATTTTTTTTAAGAAATTGTTGGTGAAGTGATGTGTAATGTACCTCACATTCTCTCTGGTTCTCTCTTATAGCCGTGGTCCTGCAGAGGCTGATGAGATGGTACAGAAAGTGGGATTCCGCTACGAGGGTACATACAAATGGGTGAACCCACACAAACTGTGAAAGAAGACGACGACTAAAAAAATCATTCCAAGATGAGTGCCTGAAATAAAAGAGAAATAAGGGCACTTTAGTATTTGAAGATGCACTCTGTTAGCACTGCATGTAAAGAAGAACCAACAAGACTAGCAAACACTTTTTTTTTTTTTTTTTTTTTTGTTTTTTTTAATTTTTCACCCTTTTAATGTGTCCTTGCTGAATAAAAGTATTGATTCCTTTCAGAAAGTATTATTAACACCTAATCCTTTGAACAGTTTGAAGTATTTCTGTTTGCCTCTTGTAGGTGGTTGTTCAGAGACGGTCTTCTCCCTGAACAGACATATTTTGTGGGTTTTGCGCGTTCTGATCTGACCGTGGATGCCATACGTGCAGCCTGCATGCCCTACATGAAGGTCACAGCTCTGAGAGTTTCTCCATGTGCATTTATCTATTTACTGCATATGTGTGTTAATATGTCCTCTCCTCCCTTTAGGTGGCAGACTCTGAGGCAGAGCGGCTCGCTGCGTTCTTCAGCAGAAAATCTTACATCAGCGGGGAGTACGCGGATGAATCCTCTTTCGCTAACCTGAACACTCACCTGCTGTCCCTGCCTGGAGGAGCTCAGGCCAACCGGCTCTTCTACCTGGCCCTGCCGCCCAGCGTCTACCACGACGTCACCAAGAACATCAAACATCAGTGCATGAGCACCAGGTGAGGAGCAAACGCATGCAGTTTTTTTTTTTTTCATTTTTGTTTATTGATGTGATTGCTTTCGTAACGTAACGCAAGGCAAATCTTGTCCAAAAGTTGGCCAGAGTTTGTTACGGACTTGAATGGTACAATTTTAAACTGACAAAAAAATCATGCGGAAGAAAAAAATCCTTACGTCGAAGAAGGCATCTGAGCCATTTATAGGGACCATTATTATAGGAAAATAAAGCTGAAATAAAATATAAATATTAGATAAAAAACTTCAAACAAAAATTTGAAATGTTTCATTGGCAACTAACCTAAATAAAATACGTTTGTTAAATACTAAAATTACTAAAACTAATACAAATTATTTAAAGCTAAATACAAATGTAAACTAAAAATACATCTAAATCTAAATTTAAACCAAATCCTAATAAAAATTGGAAAAAAAAGAAAATTGCTTGAAAACTGAAAATATTAAAATAAAAGCTCATTCAAAATGTTAATAAATACTATAATAGTATATTAGTAATTCTGAAATATCACTGGCTAGATGTGAGGTGTAGTTTCTGTTCGGTTTTCTAATTGTCTGTGTATATGATTTTGCCCTAGCAAAGGCCTTTTTCACATGCAGCATATTTCTTGTGTTTGTATGTTTGTTAGAGGCTGGAACAGGATAATCGTGGAGAAGCCTTTTGGACGTGACCTGCAGAGCTCAGAGGAGTTAACCTGTCATCTCTCTTCTCTCTTCACTGAGGACCAGATTTACCGTATAGACCATTATCTAGGCAAAGAGATGGTCCAGAACCTCATGGTTCTCAGGTGTGGCTCTTTCCATTTCCCATTGCTCTTTTCATCCCTCTCTGCCTGCTGCTTTTCACTGGCTGTCACACGCAGTTGTCATTTGTGCATAATTAAGGGTTAAACTCCACCAGGAATCTCTTCATCTGTCTCCGCGTTTCATTAGTTTCAGTTTTCTTTTTTATTTCCTTAAAGGTTTGGAAATCGGATATTTGGCCCCATATGGAACCGGGACAGTGTGGCATGTGTGGTTCTGACCTTCAAAGAGCCGTTTGGTACCCAGGGCCGGGGAGGATATTTTGATGATTTTGGTATCATTCGGTTAGTTTTCTTGCTTTGAGATGATTTTTGCACCTGTGAAACTAAGATGTTTAATTGCATGTTACCGAAAGCTGAACCTGTTTGATTAATTTAACCTGTATGATTTTCTTCTGTGGAACACACACACAAAAAAAAAAGTTTCATGCTTGCACAAAATGTTCCATACAATGAAAGTGTATTGTGTGAAGCACCATAAAAGTAGTCCATAAAAAGAAACATAAAGCATGAAGGGAAAATGCACATCATTTCAAAGACAAATTTTTTTATTTTTATTAAATTCATTGGACTTTCTGTTCATGAGGGTTCCCTTCAAAGGCTGAGAGGATTTTGATATTCTAATCAAGCATGATTTGTAAATGAATGTATCCCTCTCTTTCTTTATATCCTCTCTTTTCTGTCTCCAGTGATGTGATGCAGAACCACCTGCTGCAGATGCTCTCTCTGGTTGCCATGGAGAAGCCTGCATCCACCAGCTCTGATGATGTTAGAGATGAGAAGGTAACGAGCCGGTCAGCCAATGAACTGTGTACAGCCGCCCCTTGCAGCACTCTTATCTAGATGATCCTGAATTTAGCCTTGAGGAGCAAATATATCAAATAAAACTATTCATCACCTCGGTCTTTACTACTTTTAACAATGTGAAGTAGATTTGTGCTTTTCCCTGTTTATTTTGTTTCCCTATTTATTTTTATCTTTTTTTCTGTCTATATTAATTTTTGTTTTTGTACGGTTTTGTTTTGTTTTGTTAAAATACTTTTAACTGTGTGAATTAGACTTGTGTTTTCCCCAAATGAATAGGGATTTGTTTGTTCATGAATATTTATTTAGTTGATTTGCTGATTTTTTTTTTGTTTATTTATTTTTATTTTGTTTTTTGTACTTTATTTTTTTATTTGTTTTTGAAGGATTTTAACAGTGTGAAGTAGACTTGCGTTTTCTCTTTCCCTGTTTGTTTATTAATTTTCATTTTGTTTTTGTTTGAAGTCTTTTAATTGTGTGAAGTAGGCTTGTGCTTTTCCCTGTCCCTGTTTATTTTTTCCTTTTGTTTTGTACAATGTTTTTGTTTATTTTATTTTGTTTTGTTTTTGTGCCGCTTTTTTAAATTATTTTTTTACCGCTTTTAACAGTGTGAAGTAGACATTTATTTCTGTTTGTTTATTTATTTATTGAAGACTTATAACAGTGTTGAAGTAGACTTGTTTTTTCCTTTTCCTGTTTGTTTGTTTATTTATTCATTTTATTTATGTTTTGTTTTAAGACTTTTTCCTGTCTGCTGCAAAGAGTTGTTATTGTTGTTATTATTATTATTATTATTGTTGTTGTTATTATTATTATGTCTGTGTGTGTGTGTGTGCGCGTATGTTCAATCACATGTCATTCACAGCTTAGCTTATTGGTTAAAATGAAGCATCCAACTGAAGTGCTTTTGTTGAGATAAATGGGAATTATCCTGAATTGCTCTCTACAGGTACTGTAGATCCTCTTTCTAATACCTGTTTTGTTTTTGTTTTTTGTATGCTCTCTGTGTCCCTCTACAGGTAAAGGTGCTGAAGTGCATTGAGCCGGTCTCTGTATCAGATGTGGTCTTGGGTCAGTATGTTGGAGATCCAGATGGGGAAGGAGAGGCTAAACTGGGTTATCTAGATGACAAAACTGTCCCTGAAGGCTCCACTCAGGCTACATTTGCCACAGCATTGCTTTATGTAAAGAACGAACGCTGGGATGGTAAGTGCTAATTAGCTCATTTTTACAGTCTGGCCAAAGATCTAAAATTTTGACCTTGATACTATAATGACCTGTGGCTGTTTCTGAAATTAAAAGCATCCTTTGTGCTGCTTTAATAACTGATTTAAATGAGAAGCTTTACTAACCCTTTGGTCTTGAAAATGAAATTGTTTTGTGGTTGAAAATGCAAAATAAATTTTTAGCACATGCGCTGCTATTCAAAAGTTTGTGGTTGGATTTAAAAAATACATATTTTAAAAGAAGTCTCTTATGCTTACCATTTATTTGAGTAAAATACAGTAAAAACAGCAACACTGTGAAAACATTTAAAATAACTATTTGAATATATTTTAAAATTTAATGAGTCAAAGCTGAATTTTCAGCATCATTACTCCAGTCTTCAGTGTCACATGATCCTTCAGAAATCATTCTAATATTATGAATAGAAAGTTCAATAGAACAGTATTTATTGGAAATAGATTTTCATTTTTTTGTCAATTTATTATTTTGAACAGCAGTATATACCTTAGTCTTTCTCTTCCTGAATGTGTTGATATTTTATTAAACCATTTGATTACCCGTCTCTCTCCAGGCGTTCCCTTCATCCTCAGGTGTGGAAAGGCTCTGAATGAGAGGAAGGCAGAGGTGAGGCTGCAGTTCACCGATGTTCCTGGAGACATCTTTAGCTCTCAGTGCAGGCGGAACGAGTTGGTGGTCCGTGTGCAGCCCAACGAGGCCATCTACGCCAAGATGATGAGCAAGAAACCCGGAGTCTATTTCAGCCCTGAGGAGACCGAGCTGGACCTGACCTACCACAGCAGATACAGGGTAAAACACACAGCTTTCATTCATTCATTCTCTGTCTCTTTTGTCCTAATTGGCAACTTTGACTAATAATATGTGGGATATCATATGTAGAAAATGACTTGATTTCAACCAAAAATCTTTATTAAAGTTCCTTCATTTTCTCTTTATAAATGTGCTTTTCTCTGTTCTCCCTTTTCAAAGGACGTTAAGCTGCCTGATGCCTATGAACGTCTGATTCTGGACGTCTTTTGTGGCAGTCAAATGCATTTTGTACGAAGGTGTGTTTCTCATTGTGATCTCTGCTATGATTAGTACAGTAATGTAAATGTAATATGTTGTTACAGTAAACAACCATTGCTGAATTTGACTTGCTTTATTAAAGTGATGAGTTGAGGGAAGCCTGGAGAATCTTCACTCCTCTTCTTCATCAGATAGAGAAGCAGAAGACGCCACCCATCAAATACAAATACGGAAGGTAAAACTTTTTTATTTTTTTTAAGAAATTGTTGGTGAAGTGATGTGTAATGTACCTCACATTCTCTCTGGTTCTCTCTTATAGCCGTGGTCCTGCAGAGGCTGATGAGATGGTACAGAAAGTGGGATTCCGCTACGAGGGTACATACAAATGGGTGAACCCACACAAACTGTGAAAGAAGACGACGACTAAAAAAATCATTCCAAGATGAGTGCCTGAAATAAAAGAGAAATAAGGGCACTTTAGTATTTGAAGATGCACTCTGTTAGCACTGCATGTAAAGAAGAACCAACAAGACTAGCAAACACTTTTTTTTTTTTTTTTTTTTTATAAACGGTTGCAAAATTGAGTCTTGCGAATATTATTCCTAGTAGCATAGTATATTACAAATATATATATATTCGTGTTTTCATGGACTTTTATTATAGTTATCACCGGAAGGACTTTTGTAGCCGAACATCCGTCTTCCGGTCAGGGGCAACATGGTTGTGGAGGTGTAGCTGCGTCCATCTGCTGCATATTCGATTCTATAGAAAAATCTTTGTGTCAATTTGACAGCTATATTTATATCATATAATATATTTATCAAGCAATCCAGCGGGCAAAATGAATATACGCAACGCACGGGTGAGTAAGGGGAAGTAAAGCCAGACATTGGGATAGTCATCAGACAGTGGCTGCGTCTCAAATCCCATTTTGGGCATCATAGACGCGTACCGGACGATGAGGCTTTTTATTTTCATGACTCATGCACGCTTTGCAGTTTTAAAGTGACCGTGTTCTGCACTTTTGTATCATTTTATGTCTTTTCCACCATGTTACCACCACTCTTACATCAATGTCAAGCACCAAAACAGTCATCATTTAGTTATACATGACTACTTTCCAGCTTCTCTCTGAATATTAGAATGAATCCTGTCGTTTTTTTCTGATGTATTTTATGTGAATGATTTAGTACTACTGCAGGTGGCAGTCTCAATGATTCTCTCTTCATGTTTCCAGCCAGAGGATCTGATGAACATGCAGCACTGCAACCTGCTGTGTCTTCCAGAGAACTATCAGATGAAGTACTACTTCTACCACGGCCTGTCCTGGCCACAGGTCTGAGACTGACACGGATCTGTGTACACACATCACATGCTGAGCTGCTTTACTGAACTGCTGTGTTTGTTTTCTAGCTGTCCTACATAGCAGAGGATGAGAATGGGAAGATAGTGGGATATGTGTTGGCTAAAATGTAAGTTTGTTTTTTTTTGCTTTCATGTGTGAGATGGCCATGGTTGTTATGCTCCAAGTTGTTAAGTTACAGGGATGCTCCACCCAAAATTGAGAATTCTGTCATAATTTACTTACCCTCACATTGTTCCAAGCCTGTAAGACTTACTTTCTACTGTGGAACTTAAAGGGGTCATATGATGCGATTTCAATTTCTCCTTTCTCTTTGGAGTGTTACAAGCTCTTGGTGCATAAAGAAGATCTGTAAAGGTGCAAAGACTAAAGTCTCAAATCCAAAGAGATATTCTTTATAAAAGTTAAGAGTCAGCCACACCTACCTAAAACGTCTCGTTCTAACACGCCCCCACATGTCTACCTCACTATGGGGGAAGATTTGCATAACGCCGCCCAAATGTTCACGCAAAGAAAGAAGGCGTAACTTTTATTCTCACTGTAGTATTGTTTCCGCCGCCTCCATGTCGTGAAGACTCTGTGTGCTTCGTTGTGAAAGCGAAACTACTTTGTCGCCGTTCCTCACTTTATCCTCTGGCCGTTCCACTAGCCCACCATGTGTGACGCTGTGTTTCGTTGTGAATGCGAAACTACTTTGTTTG